AATGGGTTAGATAAATACATGAGTGGGTGTGGGTGGGTGTGAGTTGGACTTGACTAGCTTGTGCTACTAGGTCTGATGCCGTGCTCCTTCCTTAAGTGGAAGTGACCTGACTAGGTGGGTCATTGGGCTAATTTGGGGGGTGGACATGGACCTGCTTTGCAAGGGTCAGTAGGCCTGTTGCAGTGTTCCTTCTTTCTTATGTTCTTAAATTATGCTTCACAAATTGTTATACTTCAAGAACTTGAACGTTTTCATGGCTGTAGCAGCCTTTGAGAGTGCCAAGGGGAACATGTGGGGACTTCAGCCCCCAAAGCCCCCCCCCCCCCCCCCCAAAAAAAAAAATGAATAAAAATAGTAATAATCTGTTTCAAAACAGGAGCCCCCCTTCCAACCAGATAGCTTCCCTAAGCCCCTCAATAGTATAGAAATTCTGGTGCTGGCCCCGGTGGAGCCCCAGCCGCTTTGTCTACTACCTTTGTTGCTATGGCCATTACCATGGCCACTGCAGCTGCCCATCAGCTATGGTGTAAAGATTTTTTATTAATTTTTTTTCATTTAAGAAACTTCAAAGTAGAATGCAGTATAATTATGCAAATATTTATAGCCACATGCAGGTGCATAGTAGAGCACATAATTATTAATGGCAACACACAGAAAATTGTCATATTTTTAAGGAATTTCATGGAGTTGATAAGTAGATGAATACTAGTGAGTGATAGCATACATGTTAATGAGATGAGATGATCACCTTTCTCCCACCTGACTCTTCTTCATCATCACTTGTTAACTATTCTTTCATTACATTTCCCTACAATATCATGACTTATACCATGTTGAGCTAATATTTATTACATGTATGTATAGTGTAATGACTTTTGTATTTGTAATTTTGGGCTGAATATTTTTTTTTAAACTGGGTTTTTCACATGTGACTCATTTTCCATTAACCAAAAATGAAGTTTACAGTTTTTCAATGAATACGATTGTGAAGCTTTGGTATCCCATTGTAAATAGTGTATTAAATCAAATACTACAAGCATTTGTACAGGTTGGCCATCAATAATCCGGCAGTCAGTAATCCAGTTCCATCAGTAATCCGGCACTAAACTTCAAATTTCTGGGGTCATCACACCAACCTGCCACTACTGTTTGGTGGTGCTACTTGCTGCATAAGTTATTCCAATTTCTTTTTCTCCAATTATTGTTATAACCTGCTTACTTTTAACCCTAGTCATGGTTCCAATGAATAAAAGAAATGCTTCTCATTGTGTAAAGCACATACACTGTACATTGTCTATAAAAGATAAGGAGGCTTTGAAGCCACTGTCAGTCACCATGAGCTCAGCTCACTCAGATAAGCTGTGACCGGTAAATTTGGGCCCACATATGAGAGAATAGGACTGTATGGAAAGTGTGCACTATATAAAAAAATCCTGCAGTGCATAATGAGAAAAAACTGCAGCCATGTTTATGGTGTAAACCCGAATTTGTGGTGTTTTGTTGTGTGGTTTGTATGGTTGTATTCTCGTTTTTCTTTTCTCATTTAATAGAATAGAAGATATTTTACAGAATAGATATACAGTGGTCCCTCAATTATCGTCCATAATCCGTTCCTGGAAGTGGGACTATTATCGAAATAGATGATTTTCGAATCAATTTTCCCCATAAGAAATAATGTAAATACAATTAATCTGTTCCTGACACCCAGAAGTATTAAAACAAAAAAATTTTTTACATGAAATATAGATGTAGTACATAAACAATACAATGGCACATGATGAATGAAACATTAACAGAATAACACTTACCTTTATTGGCGATTCTTCTTAGTGTATGGAAGACTGGAGAAGGAGAGAGATTGGATTATTTACTGTTTGGAAGGGGAATCCCCTTCCATCAACACCTCAGGTACCAAGTGCTTTTCTGGGGTTACTTCTCTTCTCTGTTTCTTAATGCCACTAGGACCAGCTTGAGAGTCACTGGAGTCCTGTCTCGTAAAAAAACTGTCCAGAGAGCTCTGTTTCTGGTGTCTCTTTAAAACTTCCCTAAAATGGGCCAAGACTCTGTCACTGTACAAGTTGCCGATATGGCTTGCAACATCCTTCTCAGGGTGATGTTTCTCCATAAATCTTTCCATCCTACTCCACATTTCAAAAATCTCCTTAATTTCTGAAGAAGGCACCTTCTTCCATCTCTCTTCCTCCTCCTCTGCAGCGAGATTCTGAGCTGCGATCTGTTACTCTTCCTGCTGAAGCTCTTGCAGCTCCTCAGTGGTGAGCTCTTCGTTGTGGTCTTCCACCAACTCTTCCACATCCTCCAAACTTGCATCCAACCCCATGGAACTCCCCAGTGCCACAATAGAGTTCACAACTGACATAGGCTCATCAGGGGCTGCCTCAAACCCTTCAAAATCCCTCTTGTGGACACAATCTGGCCACAATTTTCTCCAAGCAGAGTTCAAAGTCCTGGTAGTCACTCCCTCCCAAGCCTTACCTATAAGGTTTATGCAATGGAGAAGACTGAAGTGTTCTTTCCAAAAATCTCTTAGGGTCAAGTGAGTGTCTGAGGTCACATTAAAGCACCTTTCAAACATTACTTTGGTGTAGAGTTTTTTAAAGTTTGAAATGACTTGCTGGTCCATGGGCTGGAGGAGAGGAGTGGTATTCGGGGGCAAGAACTTTACTGTGATGAGCCCAAACTCCTTCAGAATTAGGTCATCCAAGTTTGGAGGATGAACAGGTGCATTGTCCATTACTAGGAGGCACTTGAGATCCAATTTCTTTTCCAGGAGGTAATTCTTCACACTAGGGCCAAACACTTCATTGAAGCACTCGACGAAAATGTCCCTTGTGACCCATGCCTTATTATTAGATCTCCAAAACACACACAATTTACTCTTCATAACATTGTTTTTCTTGAGCACACTGGGATTTTCAGAATGGTACACTAGTAACGGCTTCACTTTGAAATCCCCACTAGCATTAGCACAGAACATGAGCGTCAGCCTGTCTTTCATAGGCTTGTGTCCTGGCAGTGCCTTTTCTTCCTGAGTAATGTAGGTCCTCTTTGGCATTTTCTTCCAAAAGAGGCCTGTTTCGTGACAATTGAACACTTGTTCAGGTTTCAGTCCTTCAACCTCTATGTACTCCTTGAATTCCTGCACATATTTTTCAGCTGCTTTTTTGTCAGAACTGGCAGCCTCACCATGCCTTATCACACTGTGTATGCCAGTACTCTTCTTAAATCTCTCAAACCAGCCTTTGCTGGCCTTAAATTCACTCACATCACCACTAGTTGCAGGCAATTTCTTTACCAAATCGTCATGCAACTGCCTAGCCTTTTCACAAATAAGCGACATCATAAGACTATCTCCTGCAAATTGTTTCTCGTTTATCCACACCAATAATAACTTCTCAACATCTTCGAGTACTGGTGATCTCATTTTTGTCAGCATATTTACCCCCTTTGCAACAACAGCATCCTTGATTTCCTTTTTCTTGGCTATGATGGAAGATATGGTTGTACGGGATTTGTTATACATCCTGGCCAGTTTGCTCACACATACGCCACTTTCATATTGTTCAATGTTGTTTTTCTTAAATTCAATTGTATTTCTCACCTTCTTTACCACAGGCTTGGCACTAGGAGCTTTCTTTGAAGCCATGGTAGCTTATTTAGCACTTGCAAGCACTAAAATCAATGGAATATTATGAAATATTTCATATGAACACGTGAGGAGACCATCGCTCGCTGGTAAACAATGGCACACTGGCTGGGAAGGGAGGCCGAGGCACCTCAGAGCGTGAGTACGCGTCCAGGACGAAAGACGATTAGTGAGTTAACGGACCATTTGCGAGCCAATGTTTAGACGAAATAACGGGACTATTTCCGAAATAGACTACCTTCAGGCCAGACGATTATTGAGGGACCACTGTAATTTTGATTGGTTTCACGCCAGAAAGTATCTTAAAATTGAGCTCAAAGTAGCGGAAATATTCGATTTTTGCCAACGTTCAAGAGTAAACAAATGATGTCACTGTCCAATACATGTCGAACTGGCCAGTCTAATATGCAGTCACAAATGGGTTGACATTATTTATAGAATTATTACAATAATGCAGTAGTCTGCACAACAGTAAATCTTCTATTTTTTGTGTGAATAAAAATTCAAAATGGAAAGCAAGCATAATACAAGAGGGGCCTGAGACATGACTAATGAACAGAGAAAATGTTATTTTAGTGCTTGGAATGTCTGCATTGTTTATTCTCGACCCTATTTTGAAATTGGCATCTTTTGAAATTTGTGTTAATTTGGCCAAATTACTAATTTCTGACCACTTTATTGGGTAGTTGAAATAGTTGAATGGGCAGTTTCTTGTACTCACTCGACAGAATAGAAGGAATACTAGCGAAATAGCTATGAGTTTGGTAGACTGGAACAATGGAATGGGCCAAAACAGGGTGTAAATTGGGTGAAATCACTGATGCGTAAATATCGCTATTTTTGTTAACCCTTAAACTATCCAAACGTAGATCTACATTCACTCACATGGTGCTCCGAACGTAGATCTATTTTTTTTTTTTTTTACATTTGAAAGCATGTAAAATAAAACGTAGATCTACGTTTGGAGCGCTACGCAAGTGAACCGAGTCTCCCAGAACCCTTCAGCAGAAATATATATTGGGTAAAGTAGATGGTAATGGTAAGAATAACATTAAATGAAGTAAAGAGCTAAATGAAAAAGGATCCGAGGAAGAGCACATTTTCTATATAGTTTCTTGAGAAAATCTGTGTAGCAAATTGAGGAAGTTATGCTTTAATTATGGTTATATTTGTTATAAAGAAAAGTTCACTTTCTGTGCTTAAATATATACAGTGATATTCTTAATTTTCTCTTAATTTTTATTATTATTTCAGATCTTCTAATTTTTATTTAGAACTGATATTATATAAAGCCTTGTTGTACTTATAAGATTGAACAAAAATGTTTCTTCTTCAGGCTTCACCACAAGCAACTGCTGCCAAGATTAAAGAACTGAAGGAGGAATTAGCACGTTTTAAGGCAGAATTTCCTCAACCCCCAGGAGAACGTGGCCGTCAAATCTCCTCTAAAAAGCTTGGGAGACGGCCTTCACAAGGTCGTAGTATCAGTGTGGATAGAGGTTATCTGGTGAAATCTGAACCCAGGGAGAAAATGAATGGCCATGAAAATAACGCTTCCATACACGGAGGAAAAAATGTTCATCTAGTTGAAATTAGCATGACTGATTCAAACACAATGAAGTCATCTAGCTACCAGTACTCCTTTGAACAGCGGATTGTGAAAGGTGGCATTAGTGAAACAAATGATAGTTTTCATTATACTTCTCACACCAATGGTGACACTCCAGAAAGCAAATCATTTATTCAGTCCAGGATTGAGCGGTTATATGGGCCCAGTGCTCTTGGGGCAGGATTCCGTAGCCGTCGATCTTTGCTAGAGCTGGAAAAAGAACAGAAAGATAGAGAGTTGGGAGGATACAGGAATCCTATATTGCCTTCTCACACAGACAATCTTTTTGAATCTGAACAAAAAGCCCCAGAAGGATTTCCTAGTGTGTTTAGACACTTACGTCCTGAGTTTCGAACACAGTTGCAAGTGAAGCGCAGTGGTAGGTTAAAAACTGGACTTTCCTTGGAATTACCATCTCTGACTCCTAATGGTAACATAGATTCACCCAAGAGACCTGGAAGAGTTATACCAATTATATTAACAGATGCATTAGAAAAAAGCATTCAGAAACCTCCAGTTCCTCAACCCAAACCTGAGATAATCATTACCAATGAAGCTAATAGAAGTAATAAATTTATTAATAGGGATAGTAAACCAGTTGTAGTTCAGAAGATTGTTAATGGTAATGCAAATATTAAAGAAACTGAAGTTATGTTGGACAAAGAAACGTGTGTTAATGGAAGTGCAATAGAGAATAAATATAGTAATAAAGATGATCAAGAATCACCTGAGAGAACTAGTATTGTTAATGGTGTTTCAGACTCTATAAAAGTAATTGAAACTTCAGATGAAACTACTGAAGGAAAAGATGGCCATTATTTCTTGAAGGTGAGTGCTAAATTTAAACACTACTTTTGTAGAAATGTGTTTACATCATGTGGTATTCCACCCTTTCTTTATGGTCAAAGACACAATCCATTAATATATAGGAGTTATAGCAAATATATTTTTGTCAGAATTTGCATACTGTAGGTTCTTAATCATGCTTTACTTTAGATTCAAAACCCACGAAAGATAATTAACTTCATATACAATTTAATATCAGTCATCCAGATAATTTGAAAAATGAAACAGTGCCCCAAATTCCATTGAATAAAGAATTCTGAAAGTACAAATAAAAAAAAAATTCTGACGCTGCACCTACGACAGAGTTTTACAGTAGATCTCGCTTCCTACAACCCTCGTAACCCTTGTAACAATTCGAGTATGTATTTGGAACTGACCTGTTTTCCTGTGAATACTTGTATACTAAAGATGTGTTGCAATCTCCTAGGTAGTAGGTTGGTAGACAGCAGCCACCCAGGGAGGTACTACCAGTCTGCCAGATGAGTGTGAAACAGAAACCTGTAATTGGTTTACATGATGGTAGCATTGCTGGTGTCTTTTTTCTGTCTAGTAAATTTACAAGATTTCAAGTATGTCTTGCTACTTCTACACATGCATAGACAAGCATTATATATATGATATGTATATATGTATATATATATATATATATATGTATATATATATATATGTGGCAACAACAAGTAAGAGGGAGCTGAAAGTGTATAAACTAAGGGAGGAGGAAGTTCGGGTGAGATATAAGCGACTATTGGCAGAAAGGTGGGCTAGTGCAAAGATAGTAGTGGGGGGTTGAAGAGGGTTGGAATGTTTTAAAAATGCAGTATTAGAATGTGGGGCAGAAGTTTGTGGTTATAGGAGGTGGGGGGCAGGAGAAAGAGGAGTGATTGGTGGAATGATGAAGTAAAGGGGGGATAAAAGAGAAAAAGGTAGCTTATGAGAGGTTTTTACAAAGCAGAAGTGTTATAAAAAAGAGCAGAGTATATGGAGAGTAAAAGAAAGAAAGAGAGTGGTGAGAGAGTGCAAAAGGAGAGCAGATGAAAAGAGGGGGAGAGGCACTCAAAAAAATTTTAATGAGAATAAGAAAAAATTTTGGAGTGAGTTAAACAAGTTAAGAAAGCCTAGGGAAAATATGGATTTGCCCAGTTAAAAACAGAGTAGGGGAGTTAGTAGATGGGGAGATGGAGGTATTGGGTAGATGGCGAGAATATTTGAGGAACTTTTAAATGTTAAGGAAGAAACAGAGGCAGTAAATTCATGCACTGGTCAGGGAGGTATACCATCTTTTAGGAGTGAAGAAGAGCAGAATGTAAGTGTGGGGTGGGAGTTTAGGCATTACGTAAAATGAAAGGGGGTAAAGCAGCTGGAACTGATGGGATCATGACAGAAATGTTTAAAAGCAGGGGGGATATAGTGTTGGAGTGGTTGGTACTTTTTTTTTTAATAAATGTATTTAAAGAGGGGAAGGTAAACCTGGGATTGGCAGAGAGCATGTATAGTCCCCTTTATATAAAGGGAAAGGGGACAAAAGAGACTGTAAAAATTAAGAGGAAAAAAGCTTACTGAGTATACCAGGAAAAGTGTACGGTAGGGTTATAATTGAAAGAATTAGAGGTAAGACAGAATGTAGGATTGCGGATGAGCAAGGAGGTTTTAGAGTGGGTAGGGGATGTGTAGATCAGGTGTTTACATTGAAGCATAAACACGCTAAGATAACAGGGATATCTTGCTACTCCTACTTACACTTTGGTCACACTTCACAGACACGCACATGCATATATATATATATACATTTCATCTAGGTTTTCTCCTTTTTCTAAATAGCTCTTGTTCTTTTTTATTTCTTTTTATTGTCCATGGGGAAGTGGAAAAAAATCTTTCCCCCGTAAGCCATCGTGTCGTATGAGGCGACTAAAATGCCGGGAGCAATGGGCTAGTAACCCCTTCTCCTGTATACAATTACTAAAAAAGAGAAGAAGAAAAACTTTATAAAACTGGGTTGCTTAAATGTGCGTGGATGTAGTGCGGATGACAAGAAACAGATGATTGCTGATGTTATGAATGAAAAGAAGTTGGATGTCCTGGCCTCTAAGCGAAACAAAGCTGAAGGGGGTAGGGGAGTTTCAGGGGGGGGAAATAAATGGGATTAAATCTGGAGTATCTGAGAGAGTTAGAGCAAAGGAAGGGGTAGCAGTAATGTTAAATGATCAGTTATGGAAGGAGAAAAGAGAATATGAATGTGTAAATTCAAGAATTATGTGGATTAAAGTAAAGGTTGGATCGAGAAGTGGGTCATAATAAGCGTGTATCACCTGGAGAAGAAGGAATGCAGAGGAGAGAGAGAGATTTTGGGAGATGTTAAGTGAATGTATAGGAGCCTTTGAACCAAGTGAGAGAGTAATTGGTAGGGGACTTGAATGCTAAAGTAGGAGAAACTTTAGAGAGGGTTTTGGTAGGTAAGTTTGGGGTGCCAGGTGTAAAATGATAATGGGGGGCCCTTTGAATTGAACTTTGTATAGAAAGGGGTTTAGTTATAGGTAATACATATTTTAAGAAAAAGAGGATAAATAAATATACACGATATGAATGTAGGGCGAAATGACAGTAGTTTGTTGGATTATGTTTTTGGTAGATAAAAGACTGTTGAGTAGACTTCAGGATGTACATTTTTTATAGAGGGGCCACAGATATATCAGATCACTTTCTAGTTGTAGCAAACACTGAGAGTAAAAGGTAGATGGGATACAAGGAGAATAGAAGCATCAGGGGAAGAGAGAGGTGAAGGGTTTATAAAACTAAAAAGAGGGAGGCAGTTAAGGTAAGATATAAACAGCTATTGGAGGATAGAGGGCTAATGAGAGCATAGGCAATGGGGTCGAAGAGGGTATGGGGTAAGGTTTAAAAATGTAGTGTTAGAGTGTTCAGCAAAGTTTGTGGTTACAGGAAAGTGGGTGCAGGAGGGAAGAGGAGCGATTGGTGGAATGATGAATGTAAAGAAGTAGTAAGGGAGAAAAAGTTAGCATATGAGAAGTTTTTACAAAAATAGAAGTGATGCAAGGAGGGAAGAGTATATGGAAAAAAGAGAGAAGTTAAGAGAGTGGTGAAGCAATGTAAAAAGAGAGCAAATGAGAGAGTGGGTGAAAATGTTATCAACAAATTTTGTTGAAAATAAGAAAAGTTTTTGGAGTGAGATTAACAATTAAGAAAGCCTAGAGAACAAATGGATTTGTCAGTTAAAAATAGGAGAGGAAGTTATAAATGGAGAGGTAGAGGTATGGGAAGATGGAAGGAATATTTTGAGGAATTGTTAAATGTTGATGAAGATAGGGGGAAGCTGTGATTTCGTGTATAGGGCAAGGAGGAATAAATCTTGTAGGAGTGAGGAAGAGCCAGTTGTGAGTGTGGGGGAAGTTCGTGAGGCAGTAGGTAAAATGAAAGGGGGTAAGGCAGCCGGGATTGATGGGATAAAGAAAAGAAATGTTAAAAGCAGGTGGGGATATAGTTTTGGAGTGGTTGGTGCAATTATTTAATAAATGTATGGAAGAGGGTAAGTACCTAGGGATTGGCAGAGAGCATGCATAGTTCCTTTTTATAAAGGCAAAGGGGATAAAAGAGAGTGCAAAAATTATAGGGGATAAGTCTGTTGAGTGTACCTGGGAAAGTGTATGGTAGATTTTATAATTGAAAGAATTAAGAGTAAACGGAGAATAGGATAGCAGATGAACAAGGAGGCTTTAGGAAAGGTAGGGGTGTGTGGAACCAGGTGTTTTACAGTGAAACATATAAGTGAACAGTATTTAGATAAGGCTAAAGAGGTCTTTGTGGCATTTATGGATTTGGAAAAGGCGTATGACAGGTGGATAGGGGCAATGTGGCAGATGTTGCAAGTGTATGGTGTAGGAGGTAGGTTACTGAAAGCAGTGAAGAGTTTTTTTACGAGGATAGTGAGGCTCAAGTTAGAGTATGAAGGAAAGAGGGAAATTTTTTCCCAGTAAAAGTAGGCCTTAGACAAGGATGTGTGATTTCACCGTGGTTGTTTAATATATTTATAGATGGGGTTGTAAGAGAAGTAAATGCGAGGGTTTTGGGAAGAGGGGTGGAGTTAAAAGATAAAGAATCACACACAAAGTGGGAGTTGTCACAGCTGCTCTTTGCTGATGACACTGTGCTCTTTGGGAGATTCTGAAGAGAAGTTGCAGAATTGGTGGATGAATTTGGTAGGGTGTGCAAAAGAAGAAATTAAAGGTGAATACAGGAAAGAGTAAGGTTATGAGGATAACAAAAAGATTAGGTGATGAAAGATTGAAATATCAGATTGGAGGGGAGGAGTATGGAGGAGGTGAACGTATTCAGATATTTGGGAGTGGACGTGTCAGCGGATGGGTCTATGAAAGATGAGGTGAATCATAGAATTGTTTTGAGGGAAAAAGAGTGAGTGGTGCACTTAGGAGTCTGTGGAGACAAAGAACTTTGTCCTTGGAGGCAAAGAGGGGAATGTATGAGAGTATAGTTTTACCAACGCTCTTATATGGGTGTGAGCGTGGTGATGAATGTTGCAGCGAGGAGAAGGCTGGAGGCAGTGGAGATGTTCATGTCTGAGGGCAATGTGTGGTGTGAATATAATGCAGAGAATTCGTAGTTTGGAAGTTAGAGGGGGGTGCGGGATTACCAAAACTGTTGTCCAGAGGGAGGAAGGGTTGTTGAGGTGGTTCGGACATGTAAAAAGAATGGAGCGAAACAGAATGACTTCAAGAGTGTATCAGTCTTTTAGTGAAGGAAAGGCGGGGTAGGGTCGGCCCTAGGAAGGGTTGGAGGAGGGGGGTAAAGGAGGTTTTGTGTGCGAGGGGCTTGGACTTCCAGCAGGCATGCGTGAGCGTGTTTGATAGGAGTGAATGGAGACAAAATGGTTTTTAATACTTGACGTGCTGTTGGAGTGTGAGCAAAGTAACATTTATGAAGGGATTCGGGGAAAAACCGGGCAGGCCGGA